TATTCCTTTGACATAAATTACATTTTCATAAATGTAGTGTAAGGCTAGTGTAATTTCCTTAAACTTATCTCTCAAAGATACTTTGGGGCCCAGATTGTAAATTGCTCTAACTGCACGTTTCTGCAGGACAAAGATTCTATTGATATCGGTGGCATCACCCCAAAGCAAAATGCCCTATGTCATTAGACTGTAAAAGTAGCTGAAGTAAACCAAACTAGCGGTTTCGACGTGTGAAAGTTTCCTTATTTTTTTAATCGCGTACACTGCAGAGCCGAGCCGTTTTAATAACTTACTTATATGGGGACCCCATTGCAATTTAGCATCTAAAGTTATACCTAGAAATACAACTGTATCCACAAGATTCAATTTTTCGTTTCTAACTACAATGTTTGTAACCGTCTCTCTAACATTGGGTAATGTAAATTTCACACAATTTGTTTTTTTTCTCATTAAGAAGTAGGTTATTAACAGCAAACCAGTCAACTACTTTAGATATAGCATTGTTCACATCGTCGTAGGAACATTGGTGCCTTTTAACTTTAAATAATAAGGAAGTATCATCAGCAAACAATACTATCTCATGTTTTATACCCTCCATAAGGCTAGGTAAATCATTAATAAAAACTAAAAACAAAAATGGGCCTAGAATTGAACCTTGAGGGACACCCATGCTAATTGCAGACCCTGATGATTTCGTACCGTTAACATCGACCATTTGTACCCTACCACGCAAATACGATTTAAGAAGATCGATATGACGTCCCGCCACACCATAATGGCGAAGTTTCCTGACCAGTGTGTCATGATGCACACAATCAAAAGACTTGGAAAGGTCACAGAATACTTCCCATGCATCAAATATATGATTAATCAACTCGACACCAGCGTCGGTTGTAGAGCGACCCCGAGTGAAACCAAATTGTTTAGGAGACATTAAGTTATTACTATAAAAATGTGCACACATCTGATTTAGAATAATTTTTTCAAATATTTTACTGAGAGTTGGTAGTATTGATATAGGTCTGAAATTGGTGGGGTCAGAAATACTACCAGATTTGAAAAGTGGAATAACTTTACTTTCCTTCATGAGGTCAGGAAAGACACCACAATCAACACATTTATCAAAGATACAGGCTAAGTAAGGCGCAATACAATCAACTATAGAACTAATTACTCTGACTGAAAGACCATCAAGATCAGCAGTTTTATATATATGTTTATAGACTTAAAGGCTTTAACAATATCGTTTGGAAATACACGACGGAACCTTAAATTAGTGATACTAACTAACTGCATTATTTTCGTTTAGTATGATCCAGTGGCGGTGGGAGATGAATTTAACGACTTAGTAGTCAAAATTCGAATGTCAGTAAAAAAATTTTCAAATATTTTAGCAACTTCTGCGTTTGTGTTTACAATTTTGTCATTAAATTTTAGTTGAAAATCTAAGTTAGGAGGTTTGACCCTTCCAGTTTCGCTGTTTATAATATTCCAAGTCGTTTTTACTACATTCGCGCTGCTTTTTTATTTTATTATTTATGAACATTGCTTTGGCTGCAACACAAACACGTTTAAACATTTTCGAATATTTCCTAACAAAATCATTAAAACTGTTACTAGTGTTATAAGTCCCTTCATCGTAAAGATCATATAGCCTTTGTCTACTTTTGTGAATTCCCACAGTCGCCCAATCACTAAATTTCAATGAATTATTAATAGTTATGATTTTGGACTTAAAAACATTATCACGTTCACTTTTCACTATGTTGAAAACTGAATTATACATTTTATTGGGATCGTTAACGTGCGGAATGTCGGTTAGTTTAGGCATTACATTATTTCTATAAGCTTTAAATCGACCATTATTTATCGGAACACATGTGATATCCTTTTTTGGCATTTTGTCAACAGTTATATTAAAAGTGGCCAATTGACCGCAGTGATCAGAAGTTAATTTATTTATAATAGATTTATTACTAGGTACGGCGTTAGTATAAATGTTGTCTAAACAAGTGGCAGTATTCTAGTAGGCACCAAGAAAAGATTCACAAGATTATAACATTCTAAAAATGATATGAGCCTACTGCTAGCAGTGGAATCTTCTAATGAGTTAACATTGAAGTCACCACAAACAGCAATATATTTATTTGGGTTATTTAATTTGCCTAAAACTTCATCTAATCTTTTTTCAAATAGTTCGTAAGATGAATGAGAGGGTCTGTACACGCTTAATATAACAAGCCGTTCAAGCTCTATGCAGGATATCTCTATAGTCCGCTCAATAGATAGGCTCACAATATCTGTACGTTCTTTAAATTTTAAATTATTTTTAATAAGAATTAGTTAAAGAGCCGTCATGAATAGCTTTTTCTCTGCTGAACGAACTAGCCACCTGGTGATTGTTGAAGCTAAACATGAACTGACGTTTTGATAGAAAGTGGTGTTCAGTAATACAAAGAATATCAATATTATTACAGTTAATAAATAATTCTATTTCTAACTCTTTGCCTTTCATGCCTTGAATATTTTGGTGCACCTGGTTTAATATACAATTTATTTTATTTCTGTGTGTTTTAGGTTGGTTTTTTACTGTCATTGTGTTGCAAGAGTATCTCTTCGTTGTCTTATTAATTAATTTAAATAATTAGAAATTGAATTATTTTCAACAGAATGATTATTGTCAGTAAACTGACCTGTCAACGGACTGCTCAATAGAAGCAGACGGTCTGGTAGCCAATGATTTGGCTGAATTATTAATATAATATAATAGCAACTCTGCTATCTGTCTCCTAAAATAACTAGTAAGAAAATACCTATCTTTATTATTACCTTGGTCAGATCGTCGGTCCATCTTGCAGGGAGACGTCCTCCATTACGTTTACCGAGACGTGGTCTCCACTGAGAACCCGTCTGCTCCATCGCTCATCGATTCTGCGACAGATGTGGCCAGCCCACTGCCACTTCATTTCTGGACGATGTCCACAACTTTAGTCTTATTTCCTTTATGTACTGTGCCTTGTGATATCAATTAAAAGCCATGAAATATTATAGAGAAGCGAATAACTATAAATCGGTTTTTATAGAATATACAAGAATATATTCTTTGCAAATTCCATGAAAATACTTTGATTTAAACTTTCGCGTATTTCACACATTATTTGATCTTTACTTCGGGACTTAATCTTGTATAAAACGTATTTTAATTACCTCGACGTTTCGGACGTATTACAATATCCTTTCTATAGAACGTCATCACTGTAGAATCGCACGTGAAGCTATTGAAATTAAAAACACCATAATTTCAACTGAGAAGAGGGTTTTAAGCTTTCATCGTCATGGGATCCAGTTATCAGCAAATGTAAACGACATCAAGTATCGCCCGACAAGTCGCGTTGTGTGTCTAGTAACAAGAAGATGCTGACATCCGCCTTGTGGCGAATCGTAGCAGTCGCTACAAATATCTTTGTATATACTTTATAATGTCTCTTTAAGCTTAGTTTTACATTTAAATTCTAAATTTCAATGTGATTGTTTTTGGCGCCTTTTCTTCACTTTTATTCGCTTTTTTGCTTTCATAGCTCTACGTGTTTTCAAATAAATTAATAAGTTGTAGTTACATTTGCTTGGCCTTGCTCACTCGTTGTTAGCACTCATCTGAACTCATTGATACAGTCTGGTACACGCCTCATCAATCCCTTCGAGACAACAGACGTTGCAATACGTTCGAAACGTCAAGGTAATTAACCGGATAACTTCGTTCCGAGCTTTGTCCCTTAAAGAGATACCCAGCATAGACCTTTCCATAGCTCGCTGAGCGACGTGTTGTCTGCTCAAAATATAATAATATAAACAAATTGACACGATTTTAAGAATTTTAGGTACCACTTACTCATACGTCTGTTTACCGCTATTCCAAAATACAACCATAATTTGAGAAAAGCGAAAATTTTCTTAATTTGACTTTCATGGAGACTGGCACTGGCTCTTAAACTTATTTTTTTTATGCGTTAGAAATAATGCAAGCCATAGGATTTATATATTTCAGATTATACATTACAAATGGAATGCACTATTGCTAAAGTATTGCCATAACATAAAACTTTTTTTTATTAATAAAAGCTAAATATTATAATTTCATTTATCTGGATTCTTCAGCGATAAATTTAATACGTTATGAATTTATTAAAAACCAAATAGATCGTGATAATTTTGTATGGTTTTGAAGAAAACTGACTTTAAATCGTTGTAACTCAAAGAATAATATATAACACAACCAAATATTAATTGATATCATTTACTCGTATGTAACTTTACCGCTATTCCAAAATGTAGAAAAGCGAAACTTTCTTTCGGAATTAACAGTGTAAACATGGTAGAAGAACACTAACCACTTACCTAACTTTAGTGTGACTTGAACTGCTTAGGTATTTTCATGTTTTGAAATTATGTTTTAGAAATTTTATATTTATAGGTTTAAGAATATATAGTACTTCACGATATTTCTTATTTATGTATTGGTTTTATTATTTATAAATATACATATGTGTATTTGCATTTATTTATCGATTTTTATCTATTGATTAGTAATTCTCCATACACCGCCGTCTTTTTCCTGTCAATTATATAATTACTTCCATCCAAAGGTTGTCTTGAAGAAATCGCTTAAAGCGATAAGACCGCCCATTGTACCACCGCTTATTATTAATTTAATTGTATTGTATTTGTTTCCTTTTTTGGTGTACGTGTGTATTTGTATTTGTAAAAGTGGTTAAATTTTTTTCTTACTTATATTTTGCATTAATAGTATATATCTATAGATATAAATATAAATAGAAGTACTAAAACTTTACATTCGACAATATTTCATAATTCCAATATTTTCTGATTGATTATTGCTGATTGATTCAAACTGAAATTCGTTTAAAAACAATCAACAGCGGTGGTACTGCAAATTTCAATGTTAATATTTATGAAATTATTAAAAATGTTTTTATTTCCAGGCAAGATCTTCTAAAATGGTACGGCTGGGGCTACAAGGACTCCATGTTTCGTTTGCTCGAGGGAAGACCGACTTTCACAGGAGACAGGTCAGTGCCTTTAAACTTTAATTTCTATTTTATTATAATTGCAATTTAAAAGTTATTCCAAACAGGTAAATGTAAGTCTTCTGTGCGTTCACTCCTACTCTTCTAGTAGATGGATCACATAAAAATCGGTGAAGCGTGTGATGTTTTCACTAATAATAAACTTAACTCTACAATCCAGAGATCGTCACATTTGCTCTTCCAGTAATTCATTATTATTAAATTGTTTTAATCGAATTACATTATTAGTGTTAAAAGGGAAATAAGTAAAAATATGACCATTTCTTTTTACTGCGATTTTAATAACATAGAGTTAGTCTTTGACCGCAACAACGAACACTTGTTCAAAAACAGACTCTTATAAAAATTTTAACTACGTAAGTTTGACTACATTTTGCAGTGCGAAATGATTACATATAGTTTCTTTCGGTTACAGCGAAAGTGTTTTTGTGTCTGTAGTAGTTGTAAAACTCTAACAACTGTAATAATAACGAAATAACAGTGACGAATTTAGATACAACTGTTTACGTGCAGAGTACGTGTCGTAGCTCACTGTTTGTATTTTAACATACCGTGCTCGCGGCAAAGAGTAATCGAACACAAGTGACACAGTTTGCGCTAGTAGTGAAGTTGTCTCTCAGAGTCTATTACTAATTGTGATAATAAACCAAATATTAACTATGGCTACTAAAAGTGTAACTTGCGCTGGGCCCCTCAATGTAATTGAGAATAAAAATAAACTTAAGTGAAGTGCAACGGTATATACGTTCTGATCTGTGCGAACGTTTCTGAAAAGCGTTTTTAAAGCTTTTATAGTGCCTCTAGTGATGAACGGAACAAGTTAACATGTCCTAAACGCATAAGTAAGCGCCCGAAGGGTGATAATTTGAATACTCCAGTACGTATGAATAAAGAATAATGTTATTCAGCGTTCTAAATCGAGATCGGTCAGCCAGGGTAACACTTTGTCAAGCAACATTGACTATCCGCCATAAGCGCCCAAGTTACACGACGAGAAAGATTTCGCGCGGCCCCCGCGCGGCGACCGCCCGGTTACCACGCCTCCATGTACATTAATGGCGAATCTGAATTCTATTTACAGGCAACAACATTTAAATTCCTCTGAAAAATACCACCAAACATACAACCGCGTGGCCCCGTAGACCAAATTCAAGGCAGACTGGCCCGCGTGCCCGGGACGCTCATTTAAGTAAAAGCGTAAAAGCTAAATAAATAGAGCGTATTTTGTCATGACAGTTAGACGCTGCGCGGCGACAACGCGAGGTGCGCGCGTTGTAATTAGGTCAAATAAATGTGCCCTAAGGGATGAATTTCGAGCAGCTTGCACGCCGAGCTTGCACCCATTAAAGAACAACTTGGAAAACTTAAAGACTCAGTGCAGTATATAAGCAACCAGTACGACCATTTGATCATAACCACTGATGTCATTATGGACGACTGTAGGAATATATAAGCCGAGTGTGCTCAGCTTCATTCGACGGTTTCCGCCATAGCGGCGCGTCTTGGAACTATGGAGCAATACTGGAGGGAAAGTAACATCGAAGTTCAAAGAGTACCGCTACACAAAAATAAATACGTGATAAACATAATGGACAATTTCGCAGAAGCTGTTTCGTTAAAGATGAGTGACGCTGACATGTTAAAATGTACTCGTGTGGCAAGTATCGATAAGGATAGCAAAAAGCCACATGCCATTATAGTTAAACAGAGAAGTGTGTGGTATCGTGACGAATTCTACTCGGCGGTAGCACGTTTTAATAAATCAAATACTGGTAATAAATTAAATTCCTCGACCCTGGGTATTGGCGGCATTAGTTCATTTGTCTATATATCTAAACACCTCTCACCCGCAAACAAGGCGCTACACGCCGCTGCTTTTAGCCCTAGCAGCCAAGGAACTCTCATTAACTCATAACTGCCTCCGTGGCCGAACGGTTACCATGCCGGACTGCCACGCAGAGGTCCCAGGTTCGATTCCCGGGCCGGGAGAAATGTTTGTATGGCCTGCATTTATTTCTCTCGTGAGTTTGGGTGTAATTTGTGGTTGTCTATATGTGTGTGTCCATGGCACCCGCGACACAGGGCTTCCCTAGTGCGGGGCTATGTTGAGTGCGTTATTTATAAAAAAAAAAAAAAAAATTTGTTTGGGTCAGATATGGGATTTTTATTCGCAAAAATAAAATAACTAATGTCAAGGTCAATCACCCCTAATGTTTTCAACATTCGATGGGAACTTAACCTTTTAAATTCTTTAGATGAAAATTAGACACTATCTTTGATGAATAGCAACAATATTTTAATAGCACTCATCGAATCTCGCACGAATTTGATCTTGTTCAGCAGTGCATTGAGGACTCAAAGTAGATGAGATGTCCCACATATGTCCTGTGTGAGCATCTTCGAAAGGGGAAAATATTTTCTGAATGTCTGAATAATAAACGGGAGATATCTCAGCGCGTATTCATTGTTATCAGCTGTTGTGCGACTTCCGAGATTTTTGATAATCGATAATTTTTTTTTGCTAACGTTCGTCTTCTACGCAAAACAGGTAAATCACGTTCAGTGGAAGCTTCTACTTCATAAGATTTTGATTTTAATAATTTACGTAATCACTTCATATTATAAAATTTATTTGCAATAAAAAAAGATATTTAAATGTTTTCATTTGGTAGTTTGCAGCAGAACTAAATACTCATTTTCTTTGTTTCAAAACTGAAGACAATAAACAAAAAGCAAACGAAAAATAACAATATTTAATAAGTTTGCATATACCTATAGATACAAACGTTACCGTCATCGTACGAACAATCTCCATTCTTCTCCAGCACCACATCTCAAATGCTTCCAGTGGTTCTCTGCGTCTCGGGGTCAATGTTACGCTACCTTTTTAGATAGTGCGATTCTTGAAACTATACCTGAAGTACACCTGGAGTCATTGGTTATCAGAGTGGGCAGATCCCCAATTATTCTGCATCTTCTCAATGATAAGCAGCAAGTAAACAAAGTGGTATTCCTTCCTGCACTAATTGTATTTAATACACACATCAACACTGTCTAGGGATATTTTAGTTTTTCATGGATGGCAAAGAAACTACAAAAAGTTCTTATATCAAAATGCGCAGTACTTTATAATCTGCCAGAAAATTGAATAAAAATCTTTTTATATTTATTTTTAATGACTTTTATGGTAAAAATAGAAAAAGTTATCTTTGTACTAAAATAAGAACTTCTGTTTTTGGTTATTATAGAGAAAAACTAAATTAAATGAAACAATTAATGTGTTACAAAATACAATTTAATAATCTGTAAAAGCACCTCGGATTTTTATAACGCATCTGCAACGATTGTGCATACTCAAAATGAGGTTATCAATATCACCTTGTGGAATAAGGTCCCAGGTTCGACGAAGATGCATAAAAAGTTGATGTTCTGTCAACAGATTTTCGGGAAAATTTCGTAAAGCCCTTGTTGAAGCATGTCCCACGCGTGCTCAATCGGATTTAAATCCGGGGACTGGGCGGGCCAGTCCAGTGTCTCAACATTATGTTGCTACAACCATTGACTTACTATTCGAGCTCTGTGAAGGCGAGCATTATAATGCATAAGCATAACGTTCTGACCCATTTCCAACCGATGTGGTTGGACTACAGGTTCCAGCACCTCATTACGATATTTTGCGGCAGTTAAATTACCCTGCACGCAAATGAGGTCAGTTCTCCCTCCTAGGCGTATTCCTGCCCATACCATAATTGTTCCACCTTGATATGGATGGACTTCCCGGGGATTTTGCAGGCGACTCGTACGTTCAGGTGTTCGCCAAACTCGTATTCTTCGTGTATCTGGATGGAAGCCGAACCGGGATTCATCCGATAATAACACTCTAGACCATTGTCGATTATTCCAAGTCAAATGTTCATTTGTCCACTGTAATCTTCGACCGCGATTGCCTCGTCGTAGTGCTGGAACGCGAAGTGGTCTATAAGCATTTAGGTTGACTTCGTGCAGTCTCCTCCTCACAGTTTGATCGCTCACTAGGACCTGGTATTCCGATTGAAGCTTTAAAACCAATTGCCTAGCCGTAACGTTAGGTTATCTCTTTGCTGTAACTTGTAGAAATCGGTCTTGTCTTGCGGTAATCACCCGATTATTCCCTGTGTGCCGCTCAACCACATCGCCAGTGTCTTGGTGGCGAAAACATTATTTTGATATGACGCTTTGACTGATGCCAATGGCATCAGCAACGTTGCACTGGATCGCGCCGGCTTTCAGCATGCCTACGGCTCAACATCTCTTCTTTAGTTAAATGTCGACGTTCCATAGTATAGAAACTACCACCAGTAATATTTCAGTTAATAAAATTGTGAAAAGAAATTAAATTGCGTTTAAAATCAATTTATTCTTTAAGTCACACAGAGGAAAACAAACTATCGTAACAAAGTTAATAAAATACTATCGCATCAGTCGTTCCTTTGTTTTAAATTTGAATTTAAAATACAGAAAAAATGTGCCAGGAACAAATTGACATTTAAATCTTTTTGATATGATCAGTACTTTTGGAGTTATTCTAATAAACGTGAAATATCCCTAGACAGTGTTGATGTGTGTATATTATTAATATGATTGTTGCCAATGCAAAACCACACCATGTTAATATCCAGCGTAGTATTATTGATCAGTAAAAAAATGCAATTAGTTGTTTTGAAAATTCCCAAACTGCCGTTCCTAAGCACAGTATGCCTAGTCATACGTCGGGTACTGTTTTGTATTAGCTTAGTGCAGTGACAATTTAACCGTATAGCGGTTTCAAAATACAATGCGTAGCAGATGATGCGTGACGTATACCAGCGCGCGTAGCTTGTAGCACGTAGACTAACCGGCTGACGGGAAGGCAGAGTTCATTAAATTTATCGATGTATATTTTAAGCTATTTCAATTGTAATAAGGTATAAAATTCAATACTCTGGGACTGACCTCGCGCCCTC